GATACTGTGAGTTGAGTCCAAGATGACCAGGATCTAAGTGGGTTATTTGAATTACTATAGCACTTTGGAGTAATCTTTGTCTAGGAAGACCTAGCTGTGTGGTAGGTTATCAGCCCCAAAGATCTTAAATCCAGGTAAATAATTTAAATGAGCTGGTATTTATTCCCCAGGGTGGGATCCTGAAATAAAAGAACAGAGAATCAGAGGGAGGGTAGAAATGAGATCTGCAGGAAGGGAAATGGATTAGTGGAGACCTCTAGTAATAATAGTAGTAAGGCACTAAATACACTGTGGAATAAGTATCTAACTTTTTTTTTTTTTTTTTAAAGAAAGTGGTTGAATTAAGAAGACCTTTAATCAGAACTATGTATCCATTCCCTATCCACAGTCAGAAAATAAGTGTTTCTGTGGACTACGTTTAACAGGTCAGTGGAGAGATTCCTTGATGGTGGGACTACAGAGGTTGTGCTGAAGTCATTGGGAAGGGCTGGTGAGGAGAAATGGAGCATCACGCATGTTTGGGGCTCTGGGCTGACTATTTGTTACCTCCACTTTCTTTTCTCCACCTCTGCCTAAGATTCTCAGTGAATGGAGAGACACCCACCCGTCCATCCACTCATGGAGCACACTTATTCCACTCTCTCCTTTATCTGACTTTTTCAAATTATTGGTGGAAAATAAGCAGTCCTTTTCATGATCATTCAAGATAAGCAAGGGAGGCAGAGCATCGGGTAATCTTCATTTCTGGCCTGCCACAAAAGAAAGCAGCACTATATTCTAGCAAAGTGCTGGGGAGTTCATTCAGTTCTTCCACTCACAATCCTTTGCGGAGGCAACTGTGAAGTACCTTATTGCTTTTTAACCTCTGAAGAAAAAGTGTTTAGTAACTCCTTGCCTGGGCCAGTTTGGTACCAATAATGCCTCTGTGTAAGGTACTGTTGATTTCATTAACTTTTTTATGTTCCCATCATGACAGGTTAAAGTGTTTCTTCGAATAATAAGTAGAAAAGAGCAGTGAATGGTCAATTGAGATACTCCCTTACTCCTGTTCAGATCACATCTATGTGATACAAAAAATGTACAATGGGTTTTTCCCCATGATTTTGCAGTAGAGGTAAAAACCAGCAATAGTTTCAAACTTAGCCTAATTCTGTGTCAATATGACAGAATCTTTCAAATCAATTTTATTTCCATACTGAAGCTAATTTACATGGATAAATCCCAGAGGCTAAATCTTTACTCATTTCCAAACACTGATGAACCATGGTATTTGCTTCCAATACTGTATATTTAAATGGAGTTTAACCTCTTTATTTGTATGTATTGGTCTAGCATTGTGGCAATTCAACCAAAGGCATGTCTGCCACTAATGATGTTAATAAGGCATAAAGAGTATAAAACCAGACCAAAATAAAAAAGCTATGGTCTATGCCATGCATGATTCTGGTTGATTCCTTAGGTATGCATCTAGTTGAGGATTCATAATTACGTATAAGAATCTATAATATTCTTTTGAAAATTCACAATTACATTTAGAATCCATCTGATCAGGCAGGAAATTCACAGTTATTGATGGGCAGCTGAAGGATCATTCTCCAATCTGACTATTTTCAGAAGTAATGAAATAGCTTTAAAGTGACTGAATCTTTTTCTAGTTTCCTAAGTAACCTGGACAATGTCAGAAAGTTTTCTCAATATTACAGAATGGCATATAACCCAAACTCAATTTTTTTTTGGTCATATACAGTATATGGAGTGATTTAATGAAATGCAATGATTTCAGAACGCTTTAAATGGATTACAGAATGCCCTAGAACATTTGAGTGACTAGTGGCATCACTGGATAATACATTACACTAAGGTTGAAGCATGACCTATTTGAATTGTTTCCTTGACTTGTTTGCTACTGGCAGGTTAGGACACTGGGCTGTACAAGTATGCATGTATATTTGCAAAAATATATTTTAAGATTTGCTAAAGATGTTTTGATAAGAGTATGAGATTTTTTTTTCTTGGCAGTGTTATTTCCTGTGTCCACCACTCACACCTGAGAAACCTATGTGCCAACTTTCACCTAATCCTTTAATCCCCACATTTTAATTCAAGTACATATGCTCCTAAATTAAACTCATGCTGTGTTTGCTCTTGTTTTCAATAGAACGGCTTAAGTTCACTGCTTGACAAGCATAAAATCCAGACCATATACCTTTCTTTCAAGAGAAGGTAAGACATTTGTTATATAGAGAAGTGGGTAAATAATTTTCTAATATTACAACAGGGATATTACGTGATTGGGTAAAGGAGGTCAATCAGTGCACTACGGTGTCTTATTTAAGACAGGAGCCACCCTGGGAAAGAATTTCAGAAACTTTGTTCCAGATGCAAGTTCTTATACTACAAATTTTAAAGCAGCTTTCCCTCCTTGGGCTGAGGGACTAGGGAAAAATTAGTGTACTTTGAAATGGGTATTTCTCCTTAGCCTGATCTAAACAACATTCTTTTTTTGGAATATCAAAATAAAAAGTGAGGTAAGGACACAGAGCCCTAACCAGAAAGATACAGAAGGATTTAGAAAGTGCCAAGCATCCTGGTACCATACCTACACGTTGCATACAAATAACTGATTCACTTAACTGTGAGTGAGGTGTATTACAATTGTCCACAACCAACTACATCCCTACATTTGGGATTTGGGGTCTTTACATCGGCTTTTGAACATCCTACATTTGAAGTCAGTTTCTTTGCTTACATCAGCCTGAATTTCAGCCATAGAAAGACGATTTTGATACTCAAAGAAATGATAGCAGCTGAAGTAAAGGTTCATACTTTCTCCGGCACATAGACAGTTAAACAAAGAACTGTTTTGCCATTTGAAAAAGTTAAGTACTATAGCTCAAGTAATTTTTGTGTTTCAAATGCACACAAACTCTATGCTTACTGGTGTCATAAAGAAAAAGTGAGATCTTACTTTGTAAGAGAAAAGGGCTCAACAGTGCCTGTATGTGTGCAGCAGAATTAAGTAAGTCTTGGACTCCCAGGAATAAAATCAATCATTATCCCTTGAAGAAAGTAGACAGCTGGGAAACCAAATTTTGCTCACTATAGCAAGTATATATTTAACTTCACTGAACTGCCTAGAGTTACATTAATGAATCCATCTGAAGAACTCAATTAGGTCTTCCTGTCTAGACTTGAGAAGTAAATAAATATTACCTAATGCATGGTATTCAATACAAAGAAAACAATCACACTTATACACACTTGCTGCAAGATGAAGCGAGCCAGTGATACCTCCTCCACTCAATATTTTGGCCTGACATCTGTACTTTGTTTAGTCTGTACTTTTTTACATTGACAGCCTGCTCCTTGCATTCAGCTGCTTTGATTGAAACTTTGATGGCAATTGAGGTCTGTCTTTCAGAATGGACATAATTCAGTTATACAAAGATTAATCCAAGTAAGCGATTGAAATACTGCTTGCTGCTACATCAGAACAGTTGAAGACAGCTATATGTTTATATAGCTCAAGGTGCTACATAATACCTAGAGAAAAATAAGCCCAGCCCACAAGTAGATGTTCCCCCCTGCACTGAGTCATGAGTCCTCAATAATTCCATTTATTTGCATATTTTAGCTGACAAATGGTTGCCTTCAGTTTGGGAAAGCAATTGCTCTAAGAAGTGTACACTTCTTAGCAGTCAGATTGCACTAAGCAGCAGGCCATGCCTACGCTGTTTTGAGCTACTCTTCAAGAGAATTTACAGCATACCATAAGTAGCATTTGGTCTTAGTAACATTTATGGTTGTCTAATGTTATCAACTTGGTAAAGTAAGCCCAAAGTTGATAAGTCGTCAGCCTTTAAAATCTTCTCAGAATTTTGATTTTACTTTACTGGAGATACCATTTAACCAAGGGCAGAAAAACACACACAATAAAGCACAAGAGAGGGTCAGTGATAGGTATGAACAATTCATTCTACCACTGAGGTGCCAGGATACTTCAGTTCTTTGGTGAGTAAGAACAATACTTCCACAGCAAGTAAGAGTTTATGCAGCTCATTATCATAGCTACTGTCCACAAAGTACCATCCTGAAGTTCTTTTCATTCAGTGTAAAGCATCAGTATCAGTTTTGTGACACAGTATCTTGAAAAGATCCATAGTTTTTGGTTTTAGCCCCTGGGACAGTAACTGAGTGTCAAGGCCTACATCCTTAATCTGCAAGCTCCATCAGCAGTTGCTTTAGAGTGCTAGTGTGCATAGACAGGGACAAACTGCCCCCTGTTATAGCCTGTCATTCATATGCTGACCTGTAGCAGACTCTTTTCAAATGGCACAAGGAAAGCAGACCTGCAAGATTTTTGGTAATGCAAAGCAAAGCATGTGAAGTTGTAGTGTAAAAAGAGTAGAGAACGATGCTTCAGATTTCCATTCTCTTTATTGCCAACAGATTTATATTTAAAATGCCAAGGTCCAAAAAAATGTTGTGTAATAAATACTTCACTTTGGGCTGTAATAAATAAAAAAATTATTAACAAGGAATGCACTTTGCCAGCCACAAGTGTGGGTATTTTTGAAAAATAAGAAAAAAAAAGTATGGCCATAGTTCACAGTTAAGCAGCCAGAAGCTGCTTATTACAGCTATTCCACAACAATGGAGCTCCCCTTTCCCTCCCTTTTCAGATGCATATTCACAGTTTAACACTATCAGAAATGCTCTCTCACAGAGCAGCAGTCACACTTTGCTCAGAGTTCAAGTTAAAAATATCTTTAACACACACACACGAAGCAAGAAAAACTATGGTCCGAAGAACTCCTTGTCACACCATTTTAGTCCAACAGTAGGTTTAAGCTTCTAATAGATGTGTGCCCAGCACACTAGGACAGTCAAGTTTTCGTACCACCACACATCCATCATCAACATACTAGTTGCTCCACTATCCCCACTGTAGATTTCACAGTGAACAAGAGGGTCCATTTGGTTTAACAAAGTCAGTCCCTTCAATTACATCGCTGCAGCAGCATGTTCAGAGCATATTCCATTCTGTGTTTCAGTTCCAATGAGCATCCAGAAACCAGAAGAGTTGTCAGACGAAACGTTGTGGATATCCGGTCTTCATTGATGTAGGTAAGGAGATACTCCTCACTCTGATTGCAAATGATGATTTTTGTGTGATCATGATAGAAGTTCACCTGTAAAAGAGAAGAGAGTTCCCATTTGTATACATTCTCCTCTCAGTTTCTAGCACTTAACTAGTTCTATTTTGCAATAGTATTTGAGAAACATTTTCTCTGGTGATGCGACCAAACTTACTTGAAATGTGCCATCATTGAAGAGCATCATTAATGCTTTATCAGATTTAAGCCACTGTAAAAGGTAAAGCCGGGGCCTGCGTACATCTGTTAGGCTGGGCAAATCTCCTCCCTAGGAAAGGAAGCAGATGCTATGTTAAGCACTCAGTTCAGATTCAGTGCATTTTTTACAGCTCAAGATCCAGAAGGTGCTTAACTTACATCCATGAGGTTCTCTTCCATGTAGTGGGAGAAATACTTCAGTACAGTTACTTGGCTAATGAACTGTTCAGGAGCCTCTGTGGCTGAGAAGACAGAGCACTGGCCTAGCTCAGCGTAGTAGTGCACTGTCCTGTAAGAGAAGAAATAAGTAAGAAGATTAGAAATGAGATAAAAGCATTTAATGTTTAAGCCACCTTAGCAAGTTGTTGGTTTTGTAATCATTCTTACTTTTTGTCTGGCAGAAGGCTCATATGTGCCCCATTGTTGAAAAGGACACCAACAGTGTGATCTGACAGCTGGTACCCAAAGCCATACTTGTTAGAATAGTCCACCCATTTGGTAACCCACTGGAAGGAAGCTGTCAGCTGTTCTTTGGGAATGCTGTCTGCTTCTGGCATGTTCTCCAGACATCCTCGCAATACCCTTGCAACTGTATCAGCAACACTTCCCATGGTACTGTCTTCCAGGCCTGAAAGAGAAGGATTGTTAGACTGACAAGAGAACATAGAAAGTAGGTTTTAATTCTTAACCTTTCAGTTATCTAGACTAATTTTAAGTTTGGCCTTTATGGCTTTCCACTATTAATTTTTCCAAAATATTGGCTATAAAATTTAAAGCATCAAAGACAGGAGGCGAGGAGGAAAGCAGCTGTTTATTTCAAGCTTAAGTGTGAAGGAAGAAGAAAGTAAAGGCAGGATTTAGAATTAGAGATTGCATTTTGCTGCACTTACATTCACTGCTACTGCTGCAGCTTCCCAAAGTTCCTCTGACTATCATCCGAATAGAGTCTCCAATCTGCTTAGTTTCTGGTAACGCTCCCGGCTTTGCTACTGTTGTGATAAGAGGCTGGATCTCCTAGAAGAGATGTCAGACATGTAAACATCAAACATAACACAAGCCAAGGCTTATACACAAGTTTTGCATGGCTCTCCTGTCTCTCAACAAATGATAAATTCTAGCAAAACTGGTATTAAAAAGTTTCCAGAAAGTACAAAGAGCTGCTGTTAGACTGAGCTTAAAGAAGCATGCCAGGTCTTTCCATTCTTTAGATCTTCAGTTTGCATCTTACAAGCTATTAATCAGTCCTCTACTCTCCTGCCCTAGCAAGAGAACAGCTGTGTGCAGGTCTGAACACCAAATGGGAAAAGTTAGATCTCAGCAATTTATTCTTTAAGAAGTCCTACTTAATGTTGAACTGAAGCCTTGGATTTGGAATATTAGGAAAGAATACCTGGCAGACAAGTTAACACACAGACGACAATGGAATCTAGGCAGATACTGTAATTACTCAAAAGCCAAAATTGATAGCTTCCCTACAAAGGCTACCATACCTTGGTGAAGCTTGGTTAAGCCCTCTTAAAGCAACTCTGCTAATCATTTAAGCTTGATTATGCTGTGCACAGCCCCAGCTCTGATATTCAAGTCAAATATAATTTAATTATAGCTACTCCACCCAACTGTTATTGGATTTGAATAGGACTGCACTTGCATTTACCTCATCTGTTCTGTGTTTGTGGGGCTGCTGGGTTATCGATGTCTTCTTCAAATCATGCCTGAGCTTGTAGATTTCTTCATCTTCTTTAGCTAGTCTGTCTGTAATACAAGAAAAAAAATACTTAACGCTGCATCTGGAATTGCTGTTTAATTAAGAAAGCCTAACAAGTTAGCAGCAGAAAGCACATTGTCTCCCTTCAGGAGCTTCCTCTAAACATGCCATAGTCTCCCAGAACAGTAGTGCCATTATACACAGATCGCCAAGAGACTAAACTTTAATAGACGTTACAGACTTAACAGATGGCCAATATAGATTGTCAGTATGCCATAAGAAGCATTTACTTATGTAAGTTGGCTTTAAGTTGCAGGCTACCATCCATACTTTCTGATAAAGAGGTCAAAGCTAACCCTGGGAAGCTCTGAGTTGTAAATACGAGTACTCTGTCACCATCTCATAGCTGTACATCACTAGCACGACATTAATGGCATAGAGACAAGCTTCAAGTGTAGCTGAAATCCACTTACTATGTGTGTCAAAGTATCTGGCTTTATCCTTTTTACCACCAAAGAGAGCAGCAGCTGCTTTTTTGAAGAAATTTTTAGCAGGACTTGACAAATGGAAATCAGGAACTGTGTGACAACAGCTAGCAGAAAGTCTATCAGGTGTAAAGCCCTGTGGAAATGAGATCCAAAAAGTTATTTTTTGAACACAGAGTGCATTTTTAGGGTGGGTATTTTTTTAGCCTGAACACTAGATAGTACTAACCTGTAAGAAAAATTCATGACGAATTATTTCATCTAAACTGGGTCGATCTTCAGGATTTTTTGACAACATGCTAGCTATTAAGTGTTTTGCAGGTGCCAAGAGAGATGAAGGCATGCTGTATCTTGCTTCCCTTATACATCTGTATGTTTCTTTAAGATTTGTGGTCTCAAAAGGGGGTCTTCCCAATAGCATTGTATACCTGTTTAAAAGCAAAGGAAACCAATGTTATTTATTTTACACACTCACAATACTTATTACAACTACTGAAAAGGCTTTGTCTCCTAACACGAAGGAGAATTTCTGCACTCAGGCTATGTGTGTATAAAGGGCTGTAAACTGATGCAGTAGTGCATCCCCTTTGAACTCTTAAAAGGCTAAGCCAGTGATAGAAATATTTCATTTCAAAGGCAGCACAGTACTTACATTACACAGCCTAAGGCCCAGATGTCAGATTCACAGCCATGCCCTTGTTTGTTGAGGACTTCTGGAGAGAGGTAATTTGGTGTGCCGCATATTGTTCTGCAAATCAAAGAGGCCACAGAGCCGGTTAGTATTTTGGATAGAAAGAGGAGAGAAGCTATTTTTCATAGGGCAGGTTTTCCTCTCAAGTTCAGACAAGAAGTTAGAGACTCCTAAAGAGGAGCTCCATGAATGTTAATCGTGGAAAAGCGTTTCACAGTGTCTTTGTGATACAGGAAGAGAAGACTTGTATCTGCACTATTTGTCAGTCAGGTACCCTGCCTCTGGCATTTGCTGTTATTCAAAGGCAAGCAGAAGTCAAAGCACGGCAGCCTGTTCTCTAGAAGGGGAAATCCTGACCCCAGAAGCCATTAGCTTTTGTTATGGAACAGGATTTTTCATTTCTAAATGGATTTGGATTAATTTACTTCTAGTCTTTACATTTTTTGACGCTCCTACCTCCTCCTGTGCTCCAGTGGTTCTAGCCTCGCTGCCAAGCCAAAGTCACCCAGTTTCAGTTCCATGTTCTCATTAATGAAGAAGTTACCTAGCAGACACAGAAATTCCAGTTAGTCCTTCTCTTGCAGGGTAGGAATGCATTTGCCACAGGTGCTGAGTCATACTTTGCTCAGAGCCAGAAGCTAGCCAAGATTTTTTTTTTTAAGTAGGAATGCTTAATGTCATCCCTTAAGTACTCAAAGTTTCCACCGTAAAGACAGACTGAGCTGATTCTATTAATTAAGCTATCACCATGCAAGCGTAAAGTGGTACAATGCTGACAGGGCTGCAGGAGTGTGTTTTGAAGTCGGCAAGGTGCAAAACTCACCTAGTTTAAGATCCCTGTGCAAGATTTCCTGTTCATGAAGATACTTCAGCCCTGACACAATTTGCCTGAGGTAGTATCGTACTTCTGGTTCTGTCAATACCTTCCTCGCTTTTAAGATGTGAGCCATTGACTGCAGAGGGAAAACAAAGGCAGAAACGTCACTGAACGTTCATGCACAAGAGTCACCTTAAGCAAAAGTAAATCAATGCATGGAAAAACGACAGCTAAAGAAGCCATGAAAAATACCTTTTACACATCACACATTTAAATTACTTCCAGATTCCAGGTAAGTAAATACTGGATTTCTCACAGTTGATGCTCACCCTTCTACTGCAGTACTCCAGTAGAATGTAAATATTCTCTCTGTCTTCAAAGTAGTGGTAAAACTGCACTACATGTCTATGATTAAGCATTCTGTGCAGCTCAATCTCTTTATCAATCTGAAGAGACAAGAGGGGGAGGGAAAAAAAAAAAGTGTTGTTAGCCTTGCATCCACAAGGTTGAGCAGACAGCTCTATCAGGACTGTTTCAGGAAAGGGGCTGGGGAATTCGGCAAGGAGTTTGAGGAGAAAAAAAAAGTCATTTATGCACACATACCTTTTCCCTTTGATGAGGTTTTGATACTCTGCTGTGAGGAATGATTTTTGCAGCATAAACTTTATTTGTTGTCAAATCCGTCATCTCGTAACACTTGGCGAATCCACCCTAGAGAGGCACACGAGAAAAAGGCAAATTATAGCAGGTATGAAAGAAGTCCTGCACTTAGTCATTCACCAGCTCACGTATTAGTCAAGCAGCGCAACTTCCTTTGCACAGGGCAATTTGGGGGAAGGCAGGTCTCAGGTTCGTCGCCTGCCTGAAGCTCCCGTTGCGGCTCCCCCCGCCCCACATTCGACCACCGGAGTCATTTTTGCAGGCTTGCCCG